ATGAAAAACAATCGGCTCCTTTCGGAGACGTTTAATGTTAGAGTGCAAGAACGACGAACGAAGTGTAAGTGTTCGAAAATTTTTAAGTGAAAATTGACGGTGGTGTAATGAAGTTGAGTTTGTGTATAAAAATCAATCGGCTTTTTTAAAAGACGTGTATTGATAGAACGTAGAAGCAACAATCTTAGTGTGTTAAAATGTTTAAATGTAGAGTGACAGTGATCGTGCGGGGTTCCTTCCCTGGACAGAAGATCAGCTGTGACCTACCTGCGAGCGGCAAAGACGCTGACCCATTGACCGTGGCCCATCGTGAGCAGGTGCACTTGCGAATGAATGGGTAAGTCTAAATCTCTACAGTTTTTACATTTTCTTTTTAATTCAATATTCCCTGCGACTTCTTAGTTCCTCATTTATCCTATCATCATCCATTAATTATCAACAATCTATCATTTCACCATCCAATCCACGTGAATAACGATTAAGTGTATTAATTGTTATTCATAATAACGCACGAACAACAATTTCCTTGCATTGTTATTCATGTAGTTTGTAAAACGCTTCGTACTGAGCGGAGCGCTTGTTCAAACGCGTGAAAGGCCGGGCGGCCGGATCCGAGCCAACTCTCCCGAGTCGGAGCCCGCGTCGACCGAGCGCTCTAATTGGTCCGTGTTTTTTGTTAATAACTCGGTAACCTAGCCCCATTCTGCATTTTGCCAAAGAAAATTGTTGTTCAGGAAGACCCTCCCTATCTGCCATTTTGGACTTTTACACCCTTTACGGAACACCCTGTATAATAAGGATAACCACTCGAGAATGTATGAAATACTGAAATTTGCAGTGTTTCGTGGCATACCTTACGAGGACTTTGACAAACGACGTGGGTTATGAACCAAAGGAGAATGACAGCGATCTCGTAAAAATGCTCAGAATAAACGCAATGAAATGGGCTTGCAAAGCTGTCATCAAGAAGTCCACATCCCATGCTGCGAAAATATATCAACAATGGCTAAAAAATCCTGTTGTGAGATGAAGTAAGTCGACATTTTCTTCTCTTAATTGATAACAATTTGTGTTCCGTCCGTTCAATGGAAAAATAGAATTTATGACTAGCCCACACTTAAAAAGGGTCAACTCGTTCCCAACCAGCCTTTTTCCAGTCATAAGAAAACAGTCTTCTTGAAGGATAAAGGCAACCAACCGCCAACCTAAACGAAGGACAAGGCCATTTATCTCGTCGAGCGTGGAAACTTTTTACGCACTTTCCAACGTTTTTCCACCCCCATGAGACCAAGATTCCCCAAAGGGAAAAGAGGAAGTGGTCATGCAAGGGAGTGGACTGATTATGCCTCAATAAGTAAAAATAACCAATCAGGGTGTTTTCTCTGACTTTGCTGTCCCACCTAAGTCTGAATTTTGGGTTGGACGGTTGCTCCGAAGGAACACGACTTCACTTAAGTTTCCAACACGGTTACGCGGAAATATAAAATAACCTGTGGCGATAGCCGTGTTTATTAAGCCAAGTTTGAAAGCGAAGATGCAGCGAGGCATCTGTTTTTCTTCGTTCTTAACGCCTAATATCTACTTCTCCGAATATCCCTACTCATGGAATGTATAATGTTTTTAAGGGATGAGGTCACGTCGTCTTGAGGGCGTAGTCACTTCGAGTACGACCGAGTTGAGAGACAGACCTCAGTGATTTTTGTTGAGTTTTAGTTATTAATAAATTGACTTTTAATTATACACTTATCATTTATTATCAAAACCCACCAATATTCCAAAAACCTATCGGCCATCGTGCGGGCTTGTAAAAATCACGACGAATTTGCTTTCGAATCGATATCTTCTATGCAACTCAATGACATTGCCGACCGAATCGAGGTATTTGTCTTGAGTCTGTAATTGCCAGCATTCGGGCAAATTGAAGATTACATTAGTAAATTTTGTCATCAACATAACATTTACAAAATCGTGGGGATCAAATTACCCTTGATCTTCACACGCTGGTCCGAACAACGAACGTTCATCGTTGTTCGAGACAATTCGTATGCTCTTTCTTCTATAAATGAAACGACATAAGACCAGATTTTTATGCAAAATATTTGTTTGGGCCCGTCATTATGCGACAAACTCGGCGAAACCTTTAGGTCCGACATAAAGTGCCAACCGTTCTTCTTCATGGAAGACCTTCACATTGCCTTCACAAACCCAACCCGGCACATTTACCCATAGTTTATTTTTTATCTTAATCCTTGAACCCTCCATTTATTCATTGCCGAAAACACATTTTTTAACCCAAGGATTCGTGATGATTTATTACCGACGAACCGACCGCGTAAGAGTAGAAAATTCCCAAATACCGTTACTTTAAGGCGTTTCATTGTCATCTACGCCACCCAACCACTGCCAATCCCAAAAAACTTGGTTGTTCCTACTCCTACACTTCTTCACTTCGATAGCCAATCAGTACCATCCCTCCCCTTAAATTTCCTTCGAGGTACACCATAACCCTCGCCAAAAGCTTTGCTTAAATATAGAAACTTAGCGTGCGTTGTAGGGACAACATTGTAAGTTGCTACGCAACAAGGACTTACGCGCATCAGTTGAATAAAGTATAGTCACAGTCAACCTCATTCCTGAGTTTTAGTCTCCTTGAACGGAGTGGTCCTTCGAGATCGGTTATGTACATCAAGCACATGTTATTCAACTAGTACAGTGTTTTAAATTAGTCGGCACACCACGTGCAATATTCACCAAGGCTCGAACAATCATCCGATTAACCACGAGCGTAAACAATATTACTATTATGTAAAGAGAAAGCGTTTGTTCGTATGATAGCAAAAATCTGAAAAACGACTTGTTAGGGATCCCGGTTTAGAGCAACAATAATAGTGTCGCACCAAGCCGTCGAAGAACAACGAGAACAATTTATTCTTGTAATATTTTACAATATACGGTAATAGACAAAGCGTCTTTCATTAGTATGGCGGATCGGGGCGAACTGACATAAATTCAGGAAAAAGGCCGATAGGTAAATGATAGAAGAAATAAATGAATTATGACATTAGGATGATTAGGAACGATAGATGACGCTAAAGCCCATGAATCGTATATTAAATAGTATTCACAACGAAATTACGCGCAGTAGGTTTCCTATATAGGGTGTCCCCGAATTAAACGATCAATCTGTGCCAGTGTGTTTACTATCACTAAACTAAAGTAAGATGAAGATGAAATTCGGAGAGTGATGAATTCAGTTTCCCTATGATGTCAAGCTTGCATTCGTAACGGAGGATAACACTTTGAAATGGAAGCAGACTTCTTTTCAATGTGCTTGAAGCTTGATAATAAACATTTCAGATAGTATACATGGCTAGAAGTAACAAGTTTCCTGAATACCGTCGTCTCATTGTTATATTCCGATATATCAACAATGAACTCGCTGTTGACTATAGATTCTGTATCGTGGGTGGGTTTAGACGCGGGTAGCGAGAAACTGCTTCGCAAGGAATTAACAATGACTACGAGAGATCAGGAGGTTAAAGGCACGTGGCGCGTTCCTTGCCGGTCAGCCCTACAATACCGCGCCCAGGCGCTTGCGTCGCATAGGCCGGATACGCCAAGGGCGTACTCACACAGATTCATTTTTTTATCTTAACTTTTTATAATGCATTTGCAAGCCGATGTTTATACAACATTTTGTTCTCATTATTACTCATAGAACACATTGGTGAAATTTGATCGCTTAATCGGGGGACACTCTGTATAGTCTAAAGTGTCATAAGATATATTTATCTATGAAACAAATAATATTTTTATAAATAATTATTGGACCGAAACAGAGTGAAAATGGGTTTTTACCTTTATGTTAATATTTCTTTAATGTGAAAAGGTGTTCCAGAGATTTTTGCTTCAAATATTATGCAATCAACTCCTTAAGGGAGTTCTGTTGATAGTAGAATTAACAATCAGATTTTGTTAAACTTGCTAGATAAAGCTATTGAAAAGATGTGGATAAATTCTTAAACACAAGAGTGCCTAAAAAAATATATATTAAAGATTTCATTTTTACATATTTTATGTCCTATGAGAAACTATATAATGTGAAGCACTTGACAATCAGATATTGCTGAAAATTCTTTATAAAAAATCAAATCTCTAGTAAGAACAGGTTACTTGAAAATCAGTTTTCAATATCAAGAGTCGAAATAAATTATTTATGTGAATACAACAACTAGTGCAACTTCTACAGCAAGTTCTTCATAAGCCGTGATATAAAATACGTAAAAATAACATTTTTACTTTCTTTTAGGCACCCTTAACACGTTCCCGCCGGCCTTTTTTGTAATTCTCGCCGTCTGACGGCTCTTTGATTTATGGAGATTTTAGTGGTATCCTAAAATCTCTGTGCGTGTTCAATCGGTAAATGAAAGACCTGGCACTGATTAACTATATATTTCTTTATGACAGTAAACTAGTGCACGAAGTGTACAGGAAACTCGAGCTCGTTGTGCGAGAACGCGGCAGTGCAAGCTTGCTCGGAAACGCGCGAACAAACGAATAACGTCATAGACGCTAAAATTCCAAACGCGGAACTAGCCGCTGTTTGCGAGGCGGTCTTGCGCGCCGCACTGTCAGTAAGGCAGAGCGCGGCAAACTGGCAGGAGCCGCCACAGATTCATAGCTTGATAGATAATTGTGTATGTACCACCAGTGGTACATGCCGTCCCATGGGACAGTTTTCTGTGTACCACCAGTGGTACATTCCGGCGGGAACGTGTTAATCCCTACAAATTTAACTACGTCTTTTCAAAAGCTTTAAAGTCTGGTTATTAATTACTAAAAAATTAATTTATAGGTTCTTCGTAATTCACTTCCTATTTGGCTGAAATGTGTTTTTGATGTTTAACGAATTATGGGTTTAATTCGTTCGCAAACGTTACCCGTTCAAATACCTAAAAATGAATTTCAGGATTTTATCACCAGTCATTCATTAAAGTTATGAAAATATGTAAAGTGTGTATTTATAAAATCCATGACAGAGCGACTGTATTTCTGTTCACGAATCATTTCTCTTTTACAAAAGTTGAATTTTGAAAGTTTTATTTGACACAGATATTACTATCTTTTCGCAGCGACGAGCGAGTAGCTGCAGATACGGAATCTACCCCTTAACAAATGTGTCGATTTCAGTCACCTAAAAAATTTTACCCTAAAAATTTTAAGATCTCGTTATATCTTCCAATTATCCATTATCTACAATTGGTTTTGTGATGATAGAAGCAAGATCAGAACAGCCGTCAATTTTTGATTATTAAAGAATTTTGGAATTGAGATCGAGATGTATAGAAGTGTTCGTTTGATTTCAGCTGACCGCATTATTGGTGGAGAGAAAACTGACGGAATCGTTGGAGGCTGCCATGAGACAGACGACAATGAACATCATGAGCATTAACCAGTACAAGTCAACTGTAGATAAATGGTTAAGTGATAACAGTGATTTATTCGAGAACCCCGCAAGTAGAGGTAATAGTGTCAGCTCGATGACAGTCGCGTCCTTCCTTGTTATATTCTCATTATTTATTACCCGATTTTACTAATTTTAATAAAATGGACGCACTAAAGCGTAGTTTTAATGAAATAGAAACTGACCAAATGTTAGAACGAATGCAATCAAGCATAAATTGTTTTAGAATTAATATACCAGGAGTATACTTAAACAAAACACAAAAATACGATTAGAACAGGGCTCAAGGGTTGTATAAAATACGTATGGATAGGGTGTATAAATATTCTTATGTCCTGTTGATGAAAGTATGTACAGCAAACAAAATAATAAAAGAAACTGTAACGTTGTCAAATGCGATAATATTTATCGTCGTTATATATTTAACATTAAATCAGGCTAAGGGATGAATAGTGATACGCCACATAATTTCTTCCGAGAGTTATAAAAATAGATTAGTGAGATATGCACGTGAAAATTCGTATATAAGAATGAATTTTTGATATTCCGATGATTTCAACTTAAAATATACAGGGTGTCCCAGAACTCCCTTTACGCCCGAAAATGAGGAGGAGCTGAGGTGATTTTAAACAACTTTTTCCTTTGCGAAAAAGTTGTCCAAGGCGTGGTTATTGAGTTATTAACAAAAATCCCCGCCCACTCAGAGCGCGAGTATACAAGGCGAGCAGGAGCGCGATAACCGCCTCGTGCGTTGCCGCGCCCGTATGTCGCGCTCGTGACGAGAGCATAAGATTAAAGAAATGTTGCATGCAAAAACGAACTAACAAATTGGTTAAATATCAGAAGAAAAATAGGGATTAGTCGTTACTTACGTTCACTGAACAAATGTAACATGCTCAATGAAATAACAAACAACTTTACAAATTACAGGATAGGTAAAATTATGAAAAATGTGAAAAGAATCAAAATTGAACTTACTTCTTTGTTGGTCAGTGCACCTGCTCGTAGAAGAACGTCAATGTGTCAATGGGCCGACCTACGACACTCGAAGATAGGACACATGGCTCGCAGCAGCTGATGCTTGGAGTAAGTCCGTGACCTGCACCCGATGGTTTTTTCCTTATCATCACGATCATTGTCACTTTCCCACTGGCAAATTTTCACAAAACAAATATTGTCACTTTTACACTTTCCAACTTTTTACTTACATGTAAATAACGAACATATTAAAATATTCCTTGTTCGTTAAGGCACGCACCGTTCTG